AAACTCAAACGAAGCGAAGCTCACGTTCACCCGTCTGGAACCCTTCTACATATCCATGTGGAACCCCGCGGGATTATATGTGAAAGCCATGACATTACAATTAAACATTGCTGCTGAGAAACAGCGTGCAGTGAAGCATGCGTTCACTTCGCCCCACTTTTCCTCTGTCCTGGTTAATGATGACAAGTTCAGGGTTCAGGCCCCACCACTGCCAGGATTGACCATCTCTGCTCCTGGAGCGCTGCACTGTGCAAAGAGCTGCATTAGGTTTTACTCAGTGCAATGTAAATAAAGGGTTTTTGGTTTGTTTTATATGGGTTTCACACAGTGGTCAGCAAGGCCTCCTCTGCCGGCCTCAACTCTGTCAGAATCATTGACTTGTGTTGTAAAATTTTCCCATTAATCTTTCACCTTTATTTCCAACATTGTCTTCATTTCATAGCTTGTCTCTGAGCTGTGGTGCTTCCAACAGTGTATGTTTATCCATCCATCATCTCTACACCTTAATCCTCACTAGGGTCATGGGGGGCTGGAGTCTATCCCAGCTGACTCAGGGTGAAGGCAGGTTCACCTGGACAGGTAACCAGTCTATCACAGGGCTACACTTAGAGACAGACAACCAAGCACACTCACATTCACACCTACGGACAATTTACAATCACCAATTAACCTCAACATGTTTCTGGACCTTGTGGGAACCCAGAGAGAACCCACGCTGCACGGGGAGAACATGGAGACTCCCGGGTGTCCTCACCGGGACACGAACCGGCGACCTTTCAGCTTTGAGGCAACAGTGCTAACCACTGAGCCACCTTGCAGCCCAGTGCAGGCCCCTGTAGCTTCAAATGCCTTGTAATGAAACTGTTGCTTTAACCAATCAGATTGAGATCAGATTGAGGTTTTAGCGACACTCCCCCCGTTAGCTAAGACGTTAGCTGCTAACGAATAGCAGCGTTAGCAGCATAGACGACGGTAGAGAAACGAGTTTCTTTGGAAAATTTGCACGTTTTACTGTAAAATATGTCAAATTTTCCAAACATGCAGCTTGAAAGACAGCAGGCCAAGACATGGTTTGTTTTATCAGGGGAATATCGTGGTGAGAACCCTGATGTATGTGGTGTTAATGGAGACTTGTTGAATTGTTTAACTGGGTTTCTGTCTTTACTGATGGCATTTATTCTCACTACATGAGATACCTGTCTGTGATGCAGCGTCCTGTTATAATAACTGATTAGATTTATGGAGCACTTTTCTTCCTCAAGGAGTAACTCAAAGCGCATACAATCAGCTGTCAGTTCATTCACACACATTCATCCTGGTGCTGGTAGCTACGATTGTAGCCACAGCTGCCCTGGGGCAGACTGACAGAGGCGTGGCTGCCATTCTGCACCTTCAGCCCCTCCAACCACCACCTCAAACAATCCAATCATACGCATTCACACCAGGCAAGGTGGGCGAAGTGTCTTTCACCCAAGGACACAACGACCATGATACATGTTACAGGGCGGAATCGAACCACTGACCTTCCAATCATTGGCTCTACCACCTGAGCCACAGCCGCCTTTCTGCATAATGCTGATGGTTTCTGAAGCCGTGGCATCATAATGACGGTGGTAGAGGTGGTTTGATTCAGGCAGGACGCCACTGAAGGCCTGGGAGGAAAATGCACCGCCTCTGGTTTCACACGTATCCCCATGAAAGAGCTCCAAAACCACGTCTTCCATGTGAAAAGCACATATTTCACATGTAGTCCACATTTTCACCTGTGATTTTAGCACGTTTTCACACTTTTAGTGTCACACATGCAACAACTGCACGACCGTGTTTTGGCACGTGATATGTGATTTTTCTGTCAGGAATATAACAGGATGTGTTCTCATAGTTTACTGTGGGAAAAAAAACAGACATATTCTAAACTTGTTCACGGTAGTTTGCTTTAGAAATAACAGCTGAAACATAAACCTGCTGACTGTAAACTGTTGTAGAGCAGCAAATACAGACTGTAAACCTAATTACAGTCTGTGGTAAACACACCATCGCCTCCTTTAGAATATGCAGATTAATAAAATCCCTGCATCTATTTCACTGTAAAACTACAAATACTAAAATACAAAAACTCGAAAAAAGTAGTTTATGACATATAAAAGTCTGTATTTTTGTGACTGTAAGCTGCAGTTTTGATGCTCAATCATGGCTTTGACTGCTTATTTCATTCACAATGAGTCATAAAGTCGATAATAAACACATGAGGACATGTTAACAAAGTAAAGAAAACTTTATTTCTATCAGAGGGGGTCTTTAAAAGTGAAATATGTTGTATGTGAATGCAATTTACCTGCAAAACGTGTTGTTTTTTCACTGAAATAATGAGAATATGATGCAAAAATATGCATTACAGCTGCAGTTTTCTCTGATTATGATATGAAAGACAGAGCAAACTCCATTAAATGTTATTATTTTGCTCTGTTTTGCAGCAGCAGTTCTTCTACAACACAGAGAAAAAAAATGTCACAGCTGAACTGGAGCCAACGCAATATCTCAGTTTGTACGCGATCAATCATCTCTCCGAATATACAGAAGGCAGTTTATCATGTTTACAAAATGTCCCGTTTGAAACTGTGCATTAATTCCACTCGGCTCTACAGCAAGAGGAAAATCCCCTAATCAAAAACGAGAGCTTAGCACTTTTCTTCCACTTGCCTAATCTTGGAAACTCCAGCGGGACGGAAAAGTTAAAAAAAAAAAGAGAAGCCGGCAGCTTTGCAGTGCAGTGTAGGTTAGTGTGCTTCCAGCTGCGCTTAGTGTGGAGATTTAGGCTAGCAGGACGTCTCGGGACACTGAGCAAAAATATGTCAGAAATGCTTCAATAAACTCAGCATGTGCTGCGTCACCTCCCAGGAAGGATGAATTTGAAGGAGCTGTGTGCAGAGTCTGCAGGTGGAGGCCTGTGTGCTGGTACATGAGGGCTTCCTGCCTCCAGAGGCAGGTCAGCGGCTCTGAGCTGCCTATAGATGTCAGCGCAAGTACGGCTGTCTGTCTGCGTTAGCCTCCTAACAGAGCGGTGACTCGTCCTGGGATAGACTCCGGCAGCAGGAGCAGATCCGGAGATGGATGTTTAGCAGCGGTGACAAACACCAGAAGAGAAAAGGTCTTATTCAAACTGCTTCTCTCAGGGAGGATAGAGACAGAGAGCAAAGCTATTATGTCAAAATAGTTATTCATTGGTTAATAAAACTTCAATTAGCTTTTTTTTTTAACATGAATGATGAAACAAAACAGTGCAACACTCCAGTGTGTTGGAAGTTTTGGCAGGAAAACAGGCCTCAGCAGATCCCTGAACCAAAGCGAGACTCGTTCTCCTGCATGCAAAAAAAAAAGCAGATATTTACATAACAACCAAAAAAATTAAACCGGCTCCAGATGGCGTACAGTATCAGCAACTGAATTCATTTATAGAGTCGACATCTGCAGTTTAAAAAGCACAAAAAAACAAAAAACACTCACTTGGCCATTTTCTAGAAAGTGCCGTCTAATACGTTCACTTGTTCTGTAATAGCTGCTCAGTAATTGTTTGTTTTCGCCTCTTAAACAGAAAGAATCACATTTCTGAGAGAGACGGAGCTCGATGGTGCAAAAACTATCTTCATAATAATCATGGTGGAGAAAAAAAAAAAAAAAGGGAAAGCCAAGTGAACTGGGTTTTTATTTCAAGGCCAACCAAGGAGGGCTCTGTCTAATAGCTGGAGGATGAATGTGCTGCGTATTGTTTCCTTGTAATTCACGGCCGTGTCCGGATGAATTAATGGCTGAATTATATCAGCGCTGGCGGAGGTAATTTAAAGATTGCAGGTGTTAACGTGCCGTTAAGCCGGACCTGCTGCATGTGTGATACAGGTTTAGTTTGTGCTATTTAGCTGCAGAAAAAAGTGTATCAATAGTGCCACCACATGGAAAGGCCTGAAAAATCCTAATGACTGACTGCAAGTCCTCATTCCCCACCTCAAAGCACATCTTCTATTACTAGATATGAATATTATTGAGAAGCATGTGTCAATATTGGCTGCTTTTTTAATAATAGAGAAGACAGAACACCAAATAAATGTTAGAATAAAAGCTTTATGATTCAGATTCATCACCTTTGCAACAGGCAGTATGAGCACTGACAGAAAGAAACACGATCATGTGCGTAACATCGAGAAACAAGTCCACAATGTCGAAGGAATGCTTTGCAGAAAATCACAGTAACAAAGCAAACAGTGATCAAAATTTGCCAAACGGTGGATTTTGCTGCCAGCCCCTTCTGACCGGCTCCGAAACAAATCCTCCACCACACTTCTTAGTGCCTTGACTCCTCGTCTACTGCCATGCAAAGTCGGCCGCCAACGGTGGCAGCTTCACCGAAAACACCACCGCCCACGCAGGTTCAATGTCAGCACAGTCTGCATCCACGACGCCGTAGACATCTGCTGGGTGTCCAAAAAAAACCGGGTTCCGGTGGGGAAGCCAAAAACGGGTCAAACGGCGGTCGAGCTCATCTGGTGCTCCTCCTCAGGCTCTCCACGGTCTGCAGGAAGGAGCGCAGGGCCTGGTCCTCCTCCAGGGTGGAGCAGTCCTCCTCCTCCTCCTCGATGATGCCACACTGCACGCAGCGGAGGCGGGGCTCGCGCTGCCCGGCCCTGCAGACGCACGCCGTGGCCAGAGACTGGGGGAACTCCTCCATCACCAAAGGCAGCAGATGGGCAGGGAGCGTGTCCATGCTGGTCGCCATGGAGAACGGTGGCCCGAGTGTGAGGAAGGATGAAGCGGGAGGATGTGCTGCTGGGGGGGCCGGAGAGGCAAAAATGTATCTGATGATCAGCTGTCTCCACTGTTTAGGGACCAAAAAAATAAATTAAAAAAATCCTAAAAAATTCAAACAATGTGCAATGCTCAATCAGGGAGAGCTGTTCAACACGTCCCCCAGGGCTCTGCTTGATGAGATCCTAGCTTGTTTTTTTTTCCCCCTCAATCTGTTGTGAGAGTGTGTGAGCGACGCCTGAGCGAGCTGTGCGGTCTGAGCACCACCGAGCTCCTCTCCCTCTTTATATACATCCCTGCAACCCACTCGCCTCTTCCTCTGGGCATCCCTCCACACACACTCACACACTCACACACACAGCTCCTCTCTTCCCTCCTACATCCTCGGCGATGACACATTTCCGCAGCTTCCATACCAGTGCACCGGAATAATCTCCCAGAAACTGTTGGCATGGGAACCGGACGGTGATGTTTGGGAGGGAAGAGGCAGAACGGTGAGAAAAGCAGCACATTTGTATGGGCTGCGAAAATGACGAACGACGGGAAGTTAACACACAAAAAAAACGGACATTTCTGCTCCACATACGAGTGTCGTATTTACAGACTGCTCGCCGCATCCAGACATGTGCTCTCTGATTCATCCATATTTGATCTAATTACAAAGGCCAAAGAGAATATTAAAAACTATTACTGGTTTCCAATGAATTCAGATTTACAGCTACATGATTAAAAAAAACAACAAGGAAGGTGAAGCTGAGCGTAAGAAGTCAGAACCAACAGACGGCCGCACAAAGTTATTTGAAAAGCACATTTAATGACGGCTGGAAGGACTTTTCTGTACATCAGTTGGATTCACAAACAACAAACCGCCCTTGAGAGGAGCTCAGAGTTTAGAACCGAAGCCGATCCGACGACGTCACACACACACGGTTAAATGTTAAGTTTTCCGACATATTAAAGCTGGTTTCTGACGCTTTGTATGAACACAAGAAGTCAAAGAAAGTGATTTTACATTTTTGTCCAGTTTGTCTTAACATTTGGTTCAAATCCAACGACGCAGGAATGAAATGATTCATAAAGACAACAGCTTGTTTAACAATTTCAGGAAACACCGTGGAGCTGATATAGCATGTAAACAAAACACACATTATAACAATCTAGCACAACTTCTCCGTCTGAGCTGGTTATTCGTCTACAAAAAAAAGAAAAAGGTTAGTTAAAGGGTCCCGTCATCAACACATAACTACTGCAGAGAACTCTTTAGCGGAGCAAACGAGAGCTCTTGAATGGTTTTGAAGACATAAAAAGGTGAGCGGGTGCACTTTAAAACAAAAAAAAAGAAGTCAGAATATGTCAATAGAAACAAAAATCCCACTCCTGCCTGGTGAACCTCATTGTTTAAGTGCTTCCAGAACAGTAAGTACCACCTCCAGTGTTTCATTAAACAGCTTAAAGCTCATCCACGAAGCCACAGGAGGCTCAGAACCAAACACAGTCCAAATCTTCTCCCCTCTCCTGGTGGGCTTACATTTTGATTTGCAGACAGATGGTTAGTTTTGGGAGTTGAGATTCCATATTACCCCTTTTTATCAATTTTTTTTTTCTTTTTTTAAAAAGCTGTTTACTGGGTAAAGAGCTCCACTTTGTCCGATATTAACCGTTTGGATTGAATGCATGCGATGCGCCCAGATGCTGCCCTCGGCCTCGTCTACGGCTGGGAGGGGAAACTGAGATGTTAAGCCCAGAAAGTGTCAGGTTTTCTCCGCTCGGCGATGATGGTGCGAGTCATTAACACAGCTGGTCCCCTCTGTCTGCCGCCGCCGCCGCCGCCGCCGCCTCCGCCTAACCCTGCTTCTGCTTCTTGAGGTAACGAGAGCGCTGGGACAGACCCATCCCCATCACGTAGCTGCTCAGGATCTTGGCTGGGAGCAGAGCTGTAGTCACCCAACCCTACGGAGGGAAATTACATGGTCAGCTGGTGGCATTTACAAATAACAGATTAGCATTAATTATTAATTTCCCAACCCACGGGAGCAACAACTGCGGCAGGCACGATTGTACAAAAGGGAAAATTCGAGCGATTGACAAATTAGGCCTGAAGTCTCGCATAAAACTTTCCTTTTTTTTTTTTCCAAACCTTCTCTCATCAATGCCATCAAAAGCCACAAAGACAATCCCATAGTTTTTTATAGTCAGCTGTAAAACACGCTCTGTCTCTCTGGGCTCCGCGGATAAATTCAGCTAATCTATTTTTTATATATGGCGCATTAGTGGGCAGTTCAAATTACTGTAATAAAATCTTTTTCTGCTTTAACCATAAAGGCTCTGCTTTAACTTAACAGCCTCCCAGATGAAACCATCGCGGCCGATTTTAGTTCTGAGCAAATGCCCAGTTTGTAATGGTCTTTTAATTTTTAGCTAAAGGTTTCCTGTGGAACCACCAGCGGCTCTTTGGTACTGTAAACAGATTTAATTCATCACCATTAGGCCTTTGATTTGTTATTTACTTCAAAGCTGTGATGTTCTTCTGAAATGGATATATCGTTAAATCCAAGGTAGCTACACGAATTCACCATAAACTTGAATTCAGGTTGGAAAAGGCGCTTCATAAACTCGAGTTGATTGAGGTTTTGTTGTGTCTAAACTGTAAAAAAATAAAAATCCGTTCAGCTTCATCACCTCATTTTCTCTGCAGACCGACGGCCGGATCAGACGTCAAACTAAATTTGTTAAAATATTTACACTTGATTGAATTTAAACTTGCATGCATATTCAGGGGGAGGCCTGACCTCGTTAGTCGCTCTGTTTTTTTTATCGTTTCGCGTCTCTTTAACCGAGCAGCTGAAGAGAACGTGACGGCGTGCTGTTGTCGGGTTGCAGCTCCGCGGCCGTCAAAATTAGATAGCGCCGCTGAATTGTGGCTTATTACCGCGCAGCCGCCACGCGACTCGAGTGAGAGGGATTATCAGATAATCACAGCCACGCTACTTGTCTGCTGCTCGTGGTTTTAGTGAAATACGGCGACAGATCTCTGCTGAATTTATGTTATCTGCACGAGAAAGAAAAAATATATATAAGAAAAAACTGTCGACTGCAGAGGATTAACGAAAGCTTCTTTGTGCCGCGTATGATTTATTGACCACCTGTACGCGGTAATAGACGGCCCCCGCTGTTATTTATATGCATATCAATAAACATGACGGTTGATATTCAGGTCACAGAGTTCGGGAGCGTGTGTGTGTGTGTGTGTTGGGGAGGAGAAAGTGGAAAAACAAAATGACGGCTGCTCCCTGTGACCTCTACGAAAATGAAGACACCTCCTGGGAAAAAAAAAACAAAAACTAGATTTGTCCCCCCCCCCTCCTCCATCTCATTTCTGATGCTCCCGTCTCTGCTGAGTAATTACAGTGTTAGGATGCAGACAATAGTGGAAGGTAGCGGAGCATCCCACTCCATTATTTCTGAGGATGTTTACCTTCTGACAGATGCTTTAGCAACTGTTGACACAACATTAATTCAGCCAATGGAGATGAGTCGGTGGGAGGACTTTTTTTTTTTTTGTTATTTTAGGAAAAAAAGTGAAAGTGCAGCCCGGCGAGGTTTCGCTGTGACACACCCAGAAAATATTTTAAAGCTCCCTGATCATTTGTCATGCGAATAATTGCAAAGCAGGTGATTACGTAACGGTGGTGGCGGGCCTCCATTCAGCACGACTCTCCCCGTTTAGTGCTACTCTGCAGCGGATCCATTACCGCAGAGGAAGCGGTCGTGTTGAAGCCCTTCTATGTGCTCCAGCTGTGCTCCTCGTATCTTTTTACATTCACGCTGCCAGAATATTCAAAAAAAAAAGGTGCGTTTCCATTGTTCCCCGCTGATTACATAAATGGACAACAATATGCGGAGGAAGATTTTGGCCTGCAGTGGGATTTCAGGCTCCAGCTCGCTGAAGCACTCTCAGCAGATCTTGAGTCACTGCTAGTGGTCAGTTTAGTGTTGATGCAAATGGAATAAAACAGGAGAACATCCTCGGTTAGGGTTTCCGTAGCGCACAAAATGGGCAGTTACTGCCAGGCACTAAGCAAAAAGCATGAATTATATAAAGGAATCCCACTTGTTTTGTACGGAAACTGTAGTTTCGTGGCTCTTCTCAGGCCTGAAACGTGTTTCATCTCGCTCTGCAGAGACCGTTTCAGGGAAATCTAAATGAGAATTAATCCTGAATAAGTGACGATTTGATAAAAATACACGCATGTGTTTATCTTACATTGTTTGTTCTCATTTTGAACACTCTAGTCTCACTGGCCTCATGTAAACTTGGGGTTTTATCATTTTCAAAAGCTCCTTTTCTATGAAAACAAGCAAGTTTTTCTAAAGATTCAGACTATTTTTGCTCATCAACTTCAAGAAACAGTCCAAATTCCTCTAAATGTGACTATTTCCTGGTTTCTTTCCTCCTCTGTGGCAGTAAACTGAACATCTTCTCTGACATTTTAGAGACCAAACAGCTGATCGATTCAACGAGAAAATACTCAAACAATTAAAAACATCGCTGGCTTCAGTTAAACTCACCTCCAGTCAGACTCTCCATGTGGTTTGTTTGTGGTGAATTTTAGCACAAATTCAAGCCAAACTACTAATAAATCTATATGTTTGGGCCTCTTTAGGGCAACAACTAACTATTTTTATTGACGATGTATAATCTGCTTCCTATTTTTGGGGATTCATTTCATAGTTTTGTCTCCACCACCACCTCCTGCTGCTGCTCTCTCACCTGATCGTGCAATAAGGTGGCTCTTGCCTCCCTGCATGCAAATCTGCCACCAAAACAACCCCCACCAAGACAACCGTGATTGGTTTAGAGACACACAGACAACACAGAACTTTTTTCCGTCTATATAAATATAAAAAATCACAGAAAATAAGTATTGATTTACATGTTAGCTGCAAAAAAATAAAAATAAACTGCACACAATGTTATTTAAAGAACACAAATCTGTATATTAAAGAATAAAAATGGTAAATAATTTTTTAAACTGTGCAGACTTCATGGATTTTTATTTTTTTAAATTAAATTCCAGGTAATATCAAGTAAAATAGCAGAAAAAGGTTTAAATTTCATGCTGACGGTCAGAAAAAGGGGCAAAAAAATAACATTTGCATCAAAAGTTATGGATTATTTGTAGTTTTAGCAACAATAATAATTTACTTTACAGTGTGTGATTGTAAAATTATGACATTTTGTGTGAACTGCAGCCAAAAAAGTAGCTTCAGTCATTCGAAATTTAGTGCAAAAACACCAGTAATGTGTTTGCATGCTCTCTAGTTTATCAGACATTTTAAGTTAGCAATAACTGAACGTGACTTTCTGCATGCAATCCACAGTTTTACTGTATTTAAATCGACTAAAAATATACACATTTTATAGTTATTTGGGATTAATTTCACAGTTTTTGAACATGGCAGGATTCCCTTATTTATTAAAGCATTTTCTCTTGCTGCCACATACTTTAGTTTTCACAGACTTACCATGACGGCATGTGGCAGGTAGCCGTTGGTCTGAGTCTGCAGCCCCACGGTGTTGAGCTCGGCGGCGACGTAGCGCTCCGGACTGGGCTTGTCCAGAGTGGCCCGTCGGATTTTACTCAGCTTGGTTGCCACGAAAAACGGCAAAACACTCTGGAGGGGGGAAAAAGGAAGAAAAAAACAGGGAGTACTGAGAGATTTACTCCTCTTAAGCCTGAAGTCCTACAAAAAACTGCATTAGTCACTACAGTTGTGGAACTTCTTTGCCCGCGACTCACCTGGATGATGATCCCTTTGCTCTTGTATTCCGCCTGCAGTCCTCGAGAAAAGAAGTCCACAAATGCCTGCGTGAAACAAAGACAGGTCATTAAAGCTAAATCTACAAAACAAAAAAAAGGGGGCAGACGCAAACACACCCAAAAAAAGGCTTTTAAATCCTCCAAGAATAAAAAAAAAACCCAAACAGTCAATATTGCGCAAAATCCCAGCAGTGTCCTTATCGGCGTTAATGGCAGCCGTAATAAAGCGAGATTATCATTAAACCGGGCGATAAAATAAAGAGTCGGCATAGATTGATTTTAATTGCACGTTTAAACTTGCGCTGCAGAAAACTGGGATTTAGGAGACAGACGTGACCCAGTATTAAGACACCAGCAAATTAATCAGCTGAAACCGTGAACAGCAGGTTGTTTCTAAGCTAACAAACACACACGAGACTGTTATAAAACATTATGACGCCACATGCTCCTATAAACATTTTTAATTGGTGCACTACCTCGGGACCCGAGTTAGTCACTGGCTTGTTTATATTCAACAATTAAAGCCGCTAAAACAACAACAACAACAACAACAAAAGGGGACAATCATTCACTTTATCCCTACATCTAAATAAATGTTGGACAAATAATATTAAATTATTTGGTTTTGCCTCCGCGTACAAAAATGGATTTATCCTCAAGGGCCACGGCGAGATGTGAACCGCTTATAAAAGGTGTAAATCGTTTAAAAAGCAGGTAGCACTCAATGAAAAAGTCATAAACCATGTTGTGGATCTACCTTGGAGGCAGAGTAGACGGTGAGGAGGGGAACCGGGTACATCCCACTGGCGGACGAGATGTTGAGGATGGCCCCCTTCTTCCTGGAAGCGGGAAAAAAAATAGGCAAAAATCCTCTTTTTACAACCAGAAAGAAACAGAAATTACGGGAGGAAAAGAAGGGGCAGATGTGCAACAAACAGCCTGAAATCAATCCCTGGATGATAAAAGAACGCGTGTACTCGCTGGCCGAGCCAAACCTGCCCTCGTCGTACATCAAAGTGGAGCTGGTGGATACCGATAAGATCAAAGATACAGTAGCATCAATCCCTAAATGTTTACAATCCCATGATTTGGTTTTTTATGCTTCGGCAAAAAAATATTCAACAATATTTTATTTCAGTGTGGAATTGTTGAGTCGCCACGACAACCTACATCGGCGCCTGTAACCCACCAGCATCCAGCGACACGACGCATCAGCATCAGAGCTCACAGAGTCCCAGAGGGCTGGACTGGTTTAACAAAGCCAGGCTTTCTCTGCTTTAACTGGCTCGACAAAACCTAAAACTCAACTCTGAGATGCTGGGTGGTTGTTAACTGTCTTCAGTAACCAGGTTTTCTGTGTTTATGTCCCTCGGAGGCGTCACATGACTCTTATTCTGCACAAAACAGACCGACTGTGTGCTGCGTATTTGAACCAAGAGGAGCAGGTGGTTATAATGGAAATCGATGAAGAATAAAGGAAAATATTCCAGCAGAGCGTCGCTGCTGCATGTAAAGTAAGAAAGCAAGGCTGGTACACGATCGTGTTAATACTATAAATGTGTATGTTTAGTGGTTCTCAATGCAGCTGGAAACTCGGAAACTACATTTTTTTACATTTAAACAGGATGCCAAAGCAGTGAATTTAGGCCTGACGCTGTCCTCTAATGAAGGAAACGTGGAAATCAGTTCTATTTTTTGCAGATTTGCAGAAGTGATATTGATGAAACAGACTTGGAATCAATTTAGGATCCAACACAGAAACACATTTATGCATTTTCTGCAACTGCGTGCACGTAGCAATGTGATGCACACGCTACTGTAGTTACACGACTTCATTTAGTGGGATCAACAGGTTTGCAGATGTTTCCTCAGCTGAGATCAGATTTATAGATTATCGGGAAAATAACCGGTGTAAAGGTGGTGCTTGTTACAGCTGATTTAAACCTTTGAACAGAACCTCCTCCAGAACAGATTGGTTGAGCTACTGACTTGAAGCTAACCTGCTAACACAGTAGTGCTGCTTTGTTTAGCATCTCTCAGAACATATTCATGAACAAAAATGTGCCGCAAGAACACACAAATGTGAGCAAACTCTTCCAATGCTGAGCTAAATCTACATCTACACGTATAAAATCTATCGTTACTACATTTAAAGCTGCTGTGCCAAAGTGTTTTCCAACAAGACTGGCTTTACCAATCAAATTAACGCATTTCAATATTGAGTTTAAATTTACCAGAAATAAATAATCTGTAATCCATAAAGTGTAAACTAGGAGGGAGGATTGTGTAAAAACATCCCCCGACGATGCACCGACGTCACCGAAGAGGCGTTCAAGTCCTGCGCCGTCCTCGATTCCAATCGAATCTAAATCTGGAACGCCATAAATCACGACGCAACGGACGGCAGAAAATGAAATGAATTACGTTTGTTCGCAGATTCTTTCGTCTTCAATCACACCTCTGCATCTTCCAGCTTTAACGCGCAGCGGAAACATACGGCGTCTTATCTGGACGCGCCGTGATCTGTTGCTCCTGCACGAATTACACCCGACATTTATAATCCGTCTTAAATAAACTCAGACAGCTTTTGTACTTTTGGCTGGAGTTTGAACTCCTTTACTTCCATTTTTTCTTTTCTAGAGCAAGAATCTCCCAAATCTTACAGTAAATCAAATATTTCACCTCGAATAGAGTTTAATATTTCACTGGCGACCCAGCTGGTTGGTAAACCTGAACACCCTTAAACACGTGGACTCTACGTTTCCAGCTGATGGCATATTAATGAACCCCAGAACCTTTTAACACATACTCTGGTGTTAATCACTAAATATTCATCAGTCGTGTGTTAACGTGAACTCACCTCTCCACCATCCGAGGTAAAACCAGACGTGTCATCTGGGGAAAAAAAACAACAATGACAAAAAGGAAGGTGACAAGTGAGCATCGTGGAATAAAAGCACGAGACGGACAATAAAAGGCCGTCGTTGGCGGATTGCGTGTGGAGGCCACATTTGTAAGCGTGCACGTGTGTGGGTGGCGTGTGAAGAGGTGGCAAGACAAAGACAGAGAGAGAGAGAGGGAGGAAGTAATAATGATAGCGGTGGGAGCTGTTTAAAGAAATATTGAATAACATAAATTAAGTGGTAAGAGAGTGGGTGGACTTTAGCTGCTGCTCGGGGAACTGCTGAACACGGAGAACGGCGACGGAGGTGACTTACGACGCTCTATGTCACTGTCAGGTGAGTGTGGGCGAGAGGGTGTTTGTCTGCGGGAGTATCCAGGGCTAGCTTAGCCGCCGGATTCTACTCGGACGGAGTTAATTAATCAGAATCGGGCCAGAAACCTCCGGGTGACGTGACGTAGGCC